GCATTAGCAATTTAACAATCTGGGATGGGGGTACTATTTCTAGGCGTTCAAAGGATACTGTCAGGTATCTGAAATCGACTCTTGGCTCAGTTTTTCTCTGTGGCGATGTGAGCAGGTACCACCCTCAAGGCAAAGTGATAGCAGCAGCTGCTAGTGGCTCTAGCCTTGGAGGATAGAAAAAGAAAGTGCCCATTCCCCAATAATTTGAAAGTCTTGGGAGGTGAAAATCAGTGGACCAGCTTGAATGAGGTGCTAGGCTCCGATCCAGTCCCTGAAGTTAGAAAACTGTATTTTGATTGGCCAGACTTGGGTCATGTGCCTGTCCTGCAGCCGGATGCTACCAGAACCACACCCAACCGCAAGGACCAAGAGTAGGAGAGAGTAGATGACTCTCCAAAGGAAAAACAGTGTTGGCCAAGAAGCTAGGAAGTGAGTGCTGCAGGCTGCAACCACAGCTCATCAGCAGGCAGCTAAGGGCTTTCCCAAGGGTAGGAACATTGTGGGCAGAAGAAATGGCACATGCAGGACTTAGAAGCAAGGAAAAGCTTTGGTGTGGAGCCGGGCTTCAGGCCTAGGGTGTTGAGATTCCTTACCTAGGATTTTCTTTTTCTCTCTTTTTTTGTAGTGGGGATTGAACCCAGGAACTACATCTTCAGTCTTTATTTATTTAGTAGTTCTGAGGATTGAACCCAGGGAGTCTCTGCCACTGAAATTATGTCCCCAGCCCTTATTTTAATTTTAAGACAGGATCTCACTGAGTTGCTGTGAGTCTCACTAAGTTGCTGAGGCTGGTCTTGAAATTGTGATCCTCCTGCCTTCACCTCCCAAGTCACTGGGATTACAGGTGTGCACCAAACCATTGTGCCAGTTTAGGATAGAAGTTCTCAATGAGTACCAAACAATAGATTACTATTTGGTGCCTGTTGTCATCCTGTGAGCACATATATATTTGATACCTTCCCCTAATTTTATTTTCAGAAAAATAAAACCACCACAATCGTTGTTTATCTACTCTTATCAGAAGTAACAGTAGTTCCATGAAGCACATAGATAAGATAGACATTGAGTTCCATGCAGTTACAACTTTATAACTGTAACAACACTTCCTTCTCTAGCAAATTGGAGCATCTGCAAATGATTGAGGTCACACACATAAGGCAGGGGTCAGCTGAGGTGATTCTTCCTTTTTTTTTTTCTTTCTGGTGGTATGGGGATTGAACCTAGGGGTGTTTTACCACTGAGCTATACTATACCCTCAGTCCTTTTATTTTGAGACCGGGTCTCACTAAGTTGCTGAGGCTGGCCTTGAATTTACAATACTTCTGCCTCAACTTTCCATATGTCTGGGATTACAGGTGTGCACCATCATGCCTGGTTTCTATATTTTTTAAAATGGTGTTATGTTACTTTATTTGGACCTCTATTTTGTTCATTTATACGTAGTGCCGAGAATCTAACCCAGTGCCTCACACATGCTAGGCAAGTGTTCTACCTCTGAGCTACAACCCCAGCTCCTGTAATTTTTTTTTTTTTTAATACAGTCTTGGGGCTGGGGATATAGCTCAGTTGCTAGAGTGCTTACCTTGTATGCACAAGGCCCTGGGTTCAATCCTCAGCCAAAGAAAGAAAAAGAGAGAGAGAGGGAGAGAGAGAGAGAGAGAGAGAGAGAGAGAGAGAGAGAGAGAGAGAGAGAGAGAAAGAAAAGAAAGGAAAGGAAAGAAAAGAAAAGAAAGAAAGTTAGTTGCTGAAGCTGGCCTTGAATTCCTGGTTTCAAGTGATCTTCTTGCCTTAGCGTCTTAAGTAGCTATCTGGGACTGTAGACATGTACTGTTGTGTCCAGTGACTCTGGTAACCAAGGATGAATTTTGACCTCGGCAGACATTCTGAGAGAAATCTAGGGGATCTCTGCCAATTTTAAGAAGCCCATTTTGACTCTTCATTCATTTCTTCATTCAGCCAATATTTACTTAATGGCTACTGTGTGTTAGACTCTCCTTTAAGAATGGAATGAAGGAAATCACTGACTTTGTAGGGTAGGTCTCAGGCTTATCAGGGGACAAAAAACGCCATTATAGCTACAAATCCTTAGGTATGAAAGAAAGGGGAGGGAAAAGAGAAAATAAAGGAAGAAGGGGCAGGATGGACCTATTAAGTTCTTGTCTCAAGGCCACTTCTGATCCCAAATCATTGGCCTCTAGATTTGTAGACTCTCTGTGCCCCAAGTAGGGACACAGCTGGGCATGGTGGCATGCACCTATAATCCTGAGGTAGAGGGATCATAAGTTCAAAGCCAGACTCATCAATTTAGTAAAGCCCTAAGCAACTTCACAAGACCCTGTCTCTAAATAAAACAGGCTGGGGATATAGTACCCCTGGGTTAAATTCCCAGTACCAAAAACAACAACAACAAAAAAAAAGGGACACATTTTAGTGACTGGGTTTCCAACTCAGTTATGACTATTTTGCTTTTTTTTTTTTTATAGTGTGGGGATTGAACTCAGGGGTCCTTTACCCCTCGGCTACATCCCAGCCCTTTCTATTTTTTATTTTGAAACATGGTCTCACTAAGTTGCTTAGGGCCTCACTAAATTGCTGAGGCTGGCCTTGAACTTGTAATTCTCCTGGCTCAGCCTCCCAGGTCTCTGGGATTATAGGTATGTGCCACCATGCCTGGCTTCTTCCTTTTTATTTATTTATTTTTTTTGATACTAGGGATTGAACCTAGGAATGCTTAACCACTGAGTCACATCCCCATACCTTTTTTCTTTTTGGCACCAGGGATTGAACTCAGGGGCACTCAACCATTGAACCACATCCCCAGTCCTCTTTTTTGTAGAGACAGGGTCTCACTGAATTGCTAAGTGCCTCACCATTGCTGAGGCTGGCTTTGAACTCATGATCCTCCTATCTCAGCCTCCTGAGCCACTGGGATTACAGACATGTGCTATCTTTTCATAATATTTTGTCTTGTCCTTGTTCTAAGGAGGGGGCCTGGAACTTCACAGGCAGCCTCTGGATGAGGTCCTGTCTTGAACCTGGGAAATGAAGTCAGGCACTACTATTTCCCAAAGAACAAGAATTCATATTGGGATGGCTTCTGCTCCTGTGACACCCTGTGACTAAACCAGGGTGAGGATGAGTCACCTACAGAAGGGAAGGTGCCCTTTTCCCTGCCCCCATTTCCCAGAGCAGGTTCAGGGGTGTGTGAGGTGGGTCCTGAAGATCTGTTTTTCATTAGATCATAATCCAGGAATGACTTATTTTTTAATGTAGATTTCTGCCACCCTTGCTAATACCAGAAATTTGAGGACATAGTAGAGTGATCAGAGCTCTCTTCTTCCAGGATTTGAATGTGAACTCCTCACTCTGCAACTGTGTATCTCCAGACAAATTACTTAAACTCTTTGAACTTCAGTTTCTTCATCTGTGAAACGGGGATAGTTATAAAATGCTGGCTCATAATATTGTGAAGAGTTAAATGAGATAATGCATAGAAGGCAGTTAGCTTTATGCTTGGCCCTAGTAATCCATGAATAAATTGTTGCTGTTATGCAACAATTTATAACTATGTTATGAAACATTTATGAAGCACCTCTTAGATTAGATTCTTGGCTTTTTCTTTTCTTTCTTTCTCTTTTCTTTTCTTTTTAAATGTAGGATCTAGTTACATTGCCCAGGCTGGCCTCTAACTCCGGGTCTCAAGTGAGTCTGTGCCAGCACACACCTGGTTAGATGCTTGGCCTTTGAAGAACTCTAGCTTATAAATGAAAAATTATTTTGCAAAGGGTAAGACATAGTACTGCCGGTGCAGAGAGGGTATGATAGGGTGGTTAGGAAAGGGAAGACAATTGAATGTGGGATCCTGAAGGGGATGGAAGAGCATCCCAGGAAAAAGAAACACAGGGCTCATGTAGGAGCAGTTAAGATGGGATTGTGACCCATTTCTATACTGTGAGCCAAACTGGGAATTTTAACACCTGAAGGCTGTTAAAAGTTTTATGCAGGGTAACAACAGATTTATATTTTTGATAACTCTCACTGACAGCTGTGTGCATTGTAATTAGGGGAAGCCAGACTAAAGAGCAACAGCAGGTAGGCTGTTCACAGAAACATAGTCAAGAGATGGTCATGAAAGCAGAAGGCAATGAGGGTAGGAGATACCTATGGCACGTTTTAAGGCTTACAGGAGTCTGGACAGGTGACCCGAGAGCCGCAATAGAGTGAAAAACTTCATTCTTCTACCTGGCCCCGCACACTTTGTTCCCTTTGCCTTGACTACCCTTCCCAGGTTGCCCTATGACATTCAACTTGAGCCACCTCTTTTGGAAAGCCCTTTTGGATTAGGGGGCTTCTCAGTATCCTTGTCAGCTTCCCATCACAACATTTGTCATTCCTTCGTCATTGTGTCCTGGTTCCTCCCACTGGTCTGTGAATTCGGAATTTGCAGCCACAAGGCAAATACAGTGTCAATAACTGCTGAATGAATCAGTGTAAACAAGAACTTTAGCTGGCCTAGCAGAAGTCAGAGGAACCTGCAGAAAGAACACAATTTATCTGGGCGCCTTGCCGAGAACTCAGGCCCTAGGGCCTCATCCACCTACTCTACGCCAATTCTTGTATGAGAGAGCGGCTACCTCTAAGTCTTAGGCCTTTAAAAACTTGAAGCCTGATGGAAAGAACAACTCCTCTGCCAACCCAGCAAACACTAATCTCTGCAGACTGCGGGCTGAGGCTCCTCCCCTTACCCTAGGCTCCGCCTCCCCATCTGCAGTCCCGGTTCGAGCCAGGCGGCGACGCCCATGAGGCCGCATGCGCAATATGAGCGCGAAATCTCCTTTGCCCTTCTCCCAATGGCGGGCTGCGGTTCCCTTCCCGGCAGCCTCCCTAGGGCAGAGAGCGCGTCATTTCCGGTGGGGAAGGCCCGCGGCCGCCGCCGCCATTTCGGGCGCTGCTGTGAGGGTGAGACCCGAGCCGGTCCGCTGGGCGGCGGGCGCCGGGGCTGGAGTGTCGCGCGTGGCGGCGGCGGCCCAGCGTGTTGGCGCGGAGGTGGTCATGGCGGGCAACTTCGACTCTGAGGAGCGGAGTAGCTGGTACTGGGGGCGATTGAGCCGGCAGGAGGCAGTGGCACTGCTGCAGGGCCAGCGGCACGGGGTGTTCCTGGTGCGGGACTCGAGCACCAGCCCCGGGGACTATGTGCTCAGCGTCTCCGAGAACTCGCGTGTCTCACACTACATCATCAATAGCAGCGGCCCGCGCCCACCCGTGCCACCATCGCCCGCACAGCCTCCGCCCGGTGAGGGACGGAGGGAATGGGAGGCCCCGGGCGGGGGTGAGGGCCGCGGAACTCCCAGCCTGGCCGGCTGCTCCTGTCGCGCTGACCCCCACGAGGGACATGGGCAAAGGGCTGAAGTGGTCCTGTCAGGGGGCAACCTGCTGTCCAGGCGTGTTCCCACCGTCGAGCGGTGGTGTGTGGGGGAGGAGGAGCCGCTGACCCAGGCCTCTGGGTGTGCCTTGGGAGGACAGCCCAGGGGAAGGGGAACTGCTTCGGCCCCAGGGTGGGGCTGGCGCCCGGGCCAAGCACAAGGGCAGGGCTGGGCAATGTGGGGACAAAGAACTGAGGGGGATGTTGGCACTGCGGGGGCATCACTTGGCAGCAGTGCCCAGAATGAATCCGATAATCCTACAAGTGGCTTTTAGGCTTGAAACATTTCCTGCAGTGTTGGAGAACTGGGTTTGGCCATACTCCCCTGGTGGCCTTTGATAGGAAGTCACCACATACTGGCTGGGAGGGATGGAGACACCCTCAGGAAACCGGTCAGCTTTTTCCTTTCTTGGGCATTTTTCCAAAATGCTTTTACTGTCCTCTTCCCCTGTGGAGGACGAAGGTGGTGAGCTAAGTGCCTTGGTGATAGAAGAAAGCCTTGTATGACCAGCCCAGAATAAGTTGATGTCTGCCAGTATCCAGGATATCTTACTGTCTGAAAGACTGTCCACCACAATTAGGGGGTTCTAGTTTTCAGAGTGTTTAGTGGAAGAAAGAGCCGCTGTCTCCCACCCCCAAAATATCTCAGAAATTATCTAAGGGAACAATTCCTTCCCTGGAAGTAAATGGAACTTAATTTTCCTTGAGCTTAACATTGTCTTGTACTTCTTGGCCTCTTCTTGTTGAGTAAGTTGGGGTTGTGGCCCTTCTTCCTGGGTACCAGAAACAAACCCTCCTGGAGCAGATCCTCCAGGAATTTAAGTCATCCCATTTTGTCTTTCTTGTTAAGGATCATTGAGATGTGACTGTCTTACCCATGTAATTGGAATTGTTTGGGGAATATTAAGGAAATATATGCACTTAGTACTTGAGATGTGTGAGACAAGACACACAATAATTCTGAGGTTACCATTGTCTGTTAACAGCACCAAGAGTCATTAGTGCCTTCTCACTGTTCCCAAATAGAAGTAGTTTCTTCCTAACCAGCTGAGACTAGATCCAGGCCAGTCTCATGTGAATTAGGAGGTGTCTGTGCCTGTCTTTGCAGACTTGCCCTTTGAGGATAGTCCTAATTTAAATTTATACCCTCTGTCCAGAAATAGGGAGATGGGCAGTCTCTGTTGTTAATTGTACTGTTGAGTGTGGTGTCTTTAAGTTCACTGATTATCCAAAATCTTTTATCAGTCTGGTCAGTTTAATACTATTATAATGGTTATAACATGAACTAGGCATATTGATGCAACATATATTGCCCTAAACCAGATAAATTCTATTTTGATGCCATATGCAAAGTATCTAGGGTTTTGAATTAATTATAATAACATGATGGTAAACTATCATTGAAATTAATTTCTCAACAGTTTATTTATGTATGTGTATTTTGGTTGCAGAATTTGGAAATGGCAGCAGACAGGTTTGTTAACTTTGTATTTCTCTATACCTCCGCATTGTGATTTTATATCTCATCATTTACCTTGTTATTGAACTCTACCTTTTCAAAATATATAAGAATTCAGATCCTTAGCCTAGGAGAGAAGGTAAAGATTGCCAAAGTTTGTGAATGAGGTGTGGAAAGCGCATGGATAGTGTGTACCCTATTTTCCACATGCTTTGTGTCCCGTATTTTTGTGTAGGGCAGTTGGTTCAATTGTTGTCTTTATAATGATTACTTAGTCTTCTCCTCTCCATTAAGCTTTTTCTTTTGAAGCCACGCAGAGAACTTTCTTGAATTTTTGAGAAGCATATACATTATTAATAGCTAACATTTATTGACTGGCTATTCTATACCAGGTACTTTGCTGAGTACCTTTATTTGCCTCATCACGATCTAGTGAGTGAAGTACTGTGATCTCCATTCATTAAAATATTTTAATTTTGCAGATAAGGAAACATTCAGTAATTTGTTTAAGGTTACAAGGCTTGTGACAGAATTTGAACTCAGGCATTCTGTCCCTTTTTTGTGTAACCTTTCTTGGATCCCAGTAGTGCACGTAGAGGACTGTCCTCAAAACTTACTTTGCCAAGCGGGTCCCAGGTTCTTTTTAAAGACCAGAAGGAAAAGATGACAAGAAAACTGGCTTTAGCACTTGGACAGTACACATTTGCTATCTAAGTCAATGATAAAGAGGCTTTAAAAACCTACTTGGCACATTGAATATGGGAGGTGCACTTTGTGCTTAAAATTACATAGTGTATTTTTTAAAAATCTATTTATTTATTTTGTAATTGTAGTTTGTTTATTTTTATGTGGTTCCCGGGACTGAATCCAGTGTCTCACGCATGCTAGGCAAGTGCACTGAGCCACAACCCCAGCCCTACATGGTGTATTTTTTGTACATAACCTTAGGTAAAATTTGTGTGGAGGTTTAGGTTTTGTTTTTTGCAGTGCTGAGGATCAAACCCATGCATGCTAGGCAAGCGCTGTATGACTGAGTTATAACCCCATCCCTAGTATAATTTTTAGATGCATAGGGATAGAATAGGCTAATGATTCTCAACCTTTTCAGTGAACCTATGTTAACTTATCTTAGATCTTTAGCTCCCATAGTCCTCTGCTGCCATAGCCTAGGAGCACCCTGGCTGTGCTCCAAGGCTATATGGAAGGGTTTGATCAAGTCTACTGGTCATATTCTTTCAGGGTGAGTTTCAAGATGAACCTTTTGAGAAGACTTGCAACAATTGATCTACTAATTTCTTCCTCTTGGAACAATGAGGAACTACTGGACCTTGACCAGTAGAGTCCACAAAACTGAATGAGTGTGAGTTGTACATTGTCACTACTTGGAGTTATAAGCCTGATTTCTGGAGTCTTGAGTTTGAATCTTTTTAATCTGCCTCTTATTCCTTGTGTAACTTGGGGCAAGTTATTTAACTTTTTTTCTGCTTTAGTTTTCCTCATGTGTGAAAGAGGGAAAATAGTAACACTGACCTCATAGTCAATTAAATGAACTTAAGTGTATTAAATACTTAGGAATCTGTCTTGCATATTGAATAAATATTCAACAAGATATATACACATACACACACACATAGGCTAATACTATGAATATAAATGAGGTGGAATGGGGTAGTTACAGCACAATGGAAAACCATTCTCAGCTTTAAGAGGTTCGTGGCTTGCATAGTGTATGTTGGTAGGCACTGGTGAAACAGCATGCATTAGGGAATAGGGCTGGGATAGGAGGGATGGGGCATATGAAATAGTGTGAAAGGATCTTGGGTCCAGTACACGTTAACAGCTCAACCAAAGCCTCTTACCTATTACTCTAGTGAGTGAGGATAGTGTAAAAGCTTGCCTTATTTTGTAGTGATTCCTCTTCAAGGTAGTGCTGGATCAAGCCACTTCTCTGGAGATTGGGACAACTGATTATCCACTGCGCCTTTTGAACCTTCAGCTGTGTGTTTTATGTCATCTTTTCAGTTCACAAACCTGGTTTTCTTGTCTTCAGTGTCAGAATATTCCTCCATCCAGTGCTTCTAGAGAAGTTCTTCAGTGGGTTACTTAGAAATTGTATGACAAAAGGAAATGTGTATTTCTTCAGATCTTTACTGTGTACATGTGAATTATAACATGACAAGGTCCTGTTTTTTTGTTTTATTTAATTTATTTTTTTCCATTTTGTTTTGTTTGTTACTAGGGATTGAACCCAGAAACCCAGAGAGGCAACTCTACCACTGAGTTACACTGAGCCTTTTATTCTTTTGGAGACAGGGTCTCACTAAATTGCTAAGGCTGGCCTTGAACTTGCAGTCCTCCTGCTTCAGCCTCTAGAGTTGCTGGGATTAGAGGCCTATGCCACTTTGCCTGGTTGTATCAGCCACGGCCACTTCTAGAAACTTATTAGAAATGTCATTGGCCCCATTTAGCAGAAAGAGGGGCGAGGTACAGAGAATTTAAGTAACAACTCATATAAATGAGAGTCAGAGTCCATCTCATTTACACTGTTTTTAGAAAAGTTTTTCTTGCCTCAGAGACTATACTCCAGTGTGTCTTTAGGCTCCCTTCTCAGTTGTTGGCCTTTTAGACCTTTGTATTGGTGTGGATATTTATTTTAGCAACCTCTTTAAATTCCACAGGCAGAGAAGGAAGAGAAGGACTGGAAAAGAAGGGAATGGGAAGGATAAAAGAAAGTGCTGTGGGGTCCAGGAGAGGCTGATGATGGGGCAACTGCGGTGGTACCTTGCCAGATGTAACCTGGCTAAAGAGACCTATGTTGTTCTTCATGAAACCTTTATGGAGTGTCATTGTAAAAAACATAGCCCAAGGGCCAAAATGCTTACAAGTAATAGATTGAGAAGGTACAGAGAACCCAAAAGAATATCTAACCATTTGTATTGATTTTAATTTCCAAATGTGTTAATTCATAATGGCATATTCAGAATCCATCCCAGATTTGATGTAGAGTAAGTCATTGAGGTTTTCTAAGTCCCAGATATCTGTGAGAATTCTTGCGTTGGCTCTATCCTTTAGACTGGTTGACTGTATCTCCTTCCTCCCTCTTATTTCCTGCCTTTGACTATTTGTGGTTAGAAGGAGACAAGGAGGGAAAAGGAGCTGGAGCACATAGCTGTGGTAAGGTTTATGCTTATCTGGGACTCATGTATATTCTTTCCTCTGTCCTTCCCTTCTGGAGTTTGGATCAATGAAGCTTGTCTTATTTATCTTAACTGCCCAACAATACCCTAAACCAGGTATTCCTCTGTGAAATTACAGTGTTAGTAGCATATAAGAATAATTTATAGGTAAAGTATATAAAGGCTTCTCATTGTTTTGTTTATTGTATTTCTGTGAGTGTTTGGGATTGCTAAGC